TCGTTTCAATATAGACTCAAACTTCTTAGAGCAACAGCGCGTTGCTGAACCTGCATACAGCAGTTTCCCTCTATGCTGGTCTCATATCACGTTGACTTAACGAGGCTTGCTCGTGAGTCAATCTATCTGTAGCTTTGTGTTTCTGTTGCGTCGCCATTCTGAAGCTGGTATTTTATGTATTTTTACATTGTAGCAGGCTATGCCCCGTGTTGATGGCTGCACTTCTGCTTGCAAGAAGCTGCATCGAGAAGTATCAGTGCTTGTTGAACAGAAGCCCAACAATTCAACAGCGGGCCCCGAATTTCTATATCAACGGTTCATAACAAGGCTGCCCCGCAGAAAGAGAACTAACAGGTGAAAGGGTTGGTCACACCGAGACGATGGAGTACATAAGCATGAAATAGAAAAAAACACCGCTTCGACCACCGTAGCTGTGAAAGAAGAAAGCGGGTGTGGTTATGATCCAGAGATTGAAATTATGGAAACTGGCGTTTTTATCTACACCCAGAAACTGATAAGAAACAGTAACCGGCAGAAGACGGAGATTTCGGCATTCAGAAAGCAGGGGGGAAATACCAAGCAGCGCATCTGCTTCTTCTTTTAGCATGAGCAAGGCAACATAATCCGAGATTGCAGACACACTAAAAGAGATAAGGAACTGGGGAAACAAGGCTTTGACCAGCACCGCCAGAGTAACAAACAAACAAAATGATTAGGTAAACTCCCTGGTCGGTACTCAACATGAGGCGCGCTGAGGGGGCCGAAACAGGCAACAGCCGCACCTGCAGATCCGCCTCGAACGAACTCTGTGCTTAACCAAGTTCGTATGAACCAGCAGGAATTTCTAGCGGTACTTAACATGCACTGACAAGTAAGCCTCATACCTAAAACCACGAGGAGGCGGTGCGCGGCGTAGTCGCAAAGGCGTCGCAAAAGAGTAAACGGATAATATAACGCTTGCCCTCTGGCCATAATCAAGGGCAGAAGCGAGCTGCAGTGTAAGTAAAAACTTAAAGCAAGAATTTCCCCAAAGCAGCCGACTTGCTTACCCTGTCCTCATGCTCCCTGGGGGGTTGAGCTCAGGGCCTGGATGTTGCGGGGAGGAGGCAGCCTGAAATGGGGTTGCAGCGCACCTCGCTGCGGCTGCTGATATAAGCCAGCCTCACGCGTGCACACAAGGAACCTTCAGCGGAGCTTCCTTTGCTGCATGCTTTACCTCTGAATGTACTTCTAGAATGTTTGCATTTGCTTACACGCGACCCACCAAGGCCAAGTGAGAGCTCCTGCGCTAGCTCATGCTACATACATCCTTCCTCTGTCCCCAGGCGTCCTGTGCGTGAGGCTCAGGGCATCGGTGTTGCGGGGAGGAGGCAGCCTAGATGATGTTGCATCGCACCTCGTTACGGCTGGTGATGCAAGGCTGCCTCACGTGTGTACACAAGGAAGCTTCAAAGACAAGTAATGGAAGCTCCAACGAAGCTTCCTTTACTGCGGTGTTTACCTCTGTACACGCTTATGGAGCATCTGTATTCACTTGGAGGCAACCTACCAAGGCCAAGTGAATGCTCCTGTGCTATCTGTTGGCTGACCATGCTATACTGCTGGGAGCTGCAGGAAGCTGAACGGGAATCCACTCCTACGGACTGCAATCGTTTNTGACCATGCTATACTGCTGGGAGCTGCAGGAAGCTGAACGGGAATCCACTCCTACGGACTGCAATCGTTTGAAAGAAACATATTACGAAATTCAATGTTTGCTAAAGTTACCACTAATTAGACTCGTAATTCTAAAGGAGCTAGAAGACCTAATGCATTGTAGTGCTCACGCACTGCAATACGACTTCGGGGGGGCCCCTTGGGGGCCCCCTCGGAATCCCGAGCACGTGCTCTTCTCAGAAGGCTCTCCGTTTAGTTGCATAGCAAATTACTGAATTAAATCAAAGTATAAACCCAAAACCACTCGTTTGAAGGCTTGAAGGACGCCTTCATCTCCAGTGAAAGTTGCCAGTTCCCCAAGTCGCAGTGAAACCTTCTGGGGTGAAACAAGCAAAGCAATCAGACAAATCACAGCTGAAGAAAGAATATTTGCATGCGTGTAGCGCTGGGTATAAATCGTGCGTGCAGGCAGTAGGTTGACGGCTCGCCGCTATCGC